CTGCCCCCGACGCCTGGCTGGGAGCCATCCGAGCCAGCTTGCCCCCGCCCTCCTTCCCTGCCAGCCAGCTCCCACGGAGGAGGGCCTGTGAGGGGGAGGGCTGCTTGGGAGGCCAAGGTCGGGAGTCTGGCCTTTAGCTGGGGAGCCTGTGGGGGTGATGGAGGGAGATGCCCGGAAGGCGTTCCCGGCTTGCCAAGTAGGTTTGCTCATCGCCGCCTGGTTCCAGGAAGGCTCCAGTGGGCCTTGAACACTTCCTGCCCGGCTTTCCTGTTCAGCTCTGGCCGCCTGCCAAGCAAGCAAGAGTCACCAGCCGCATATGCTGCTTTGGTAGAACTGAAGGTTCCTTATGTAAAGCGTGGATGCAGGCATGAGAGGGAGCGCACATGATGACAAAGCGCCCGCTTGCACATGAATCAGTCTCCCTGTGTCTCTGAGCAGAGCTCTACGTTAGTGTAGGCGTAGTCTTGGTAACGCACGCCTCTAACATCCCTGCCAGGCCAAGCCAGAGTTGTCTGTGCTTCCAAAGGGTGCCCAAGATGAGGGAGTGCAGGAGTGTGTGGATGACGTGGCTGCCTCCAAATCGCTTTGGGATTTGCCCGGGTTCGGTGTTTGCCGGTGCTCACAGATTCCGTGTGCACAGGGCCCACTGCGTGCTGAACGTGCAGGGCTGCCTTCTGCCCGGTGAGACCACTGCTGGGCCACCCAGCCCAGCACTGGCTGCTCTGACGTGCGGCGTCTCTCGCTCTCTGTCTGGGGCAGAGGAGGTTCTCCCTCTGTGCTGGCTACCTGGGCACTCCGCAGACTTGTGTGTGCAGAGCAGGTGCTCTGGTGCTGAACCCCAGCCCCGGTCGGGGGCAGGCGTGGAGACCTTTCATCTTTCATAGAATCATAGAATGTTAGAGTTGGAAGGGACCTTGCAGGTCATCCGGTCCAACCCCCTGCACTCTGCAGCAGCATAGCCCAAAGAGAGCCCTGCAACATCCCTGAAAGATGGTTGTCCAGCCTCCGCTTGAAAACGTCCAGCGAAGGAGCATCCACCACCTCCTGAGGCAGACTGTTCCACAGTTAGGAAGTTTCTCCTGATATCTAGCCAGTATATCGACTCCCTTGTAATCTCCACCCATTAGATCTAGTCTTGCAATCCGGAGCAAGAGAGAATAGATCTGCTCCATCTTCTACATGACAGCCCTTCAAAGACTTGAAGACTGCAATTGTGTCCCCTCTAAGCCTTCTCTTTCCCAGGCTAAACAGACCCAACTCTTTCAGCCTTTCCTCGTAAGACTTGGATTCCAACCCTCTCACCATCCTGGTTGCCCTCTTCTGGACACCCCTTTCCAGCCTTTTTGGGGTGGGGGGGGGGGGGGGGGCAGCCTCCCCACAGTTTTCAGCAAGGTCTGTCTCTGGCTCCCTCCCGGTTGTGCTGATAGGCAGCAGGCGCAGCGGCCTGAAGTGTGGTCTGCTGGGCTGTCCACTCTCGGTCCCTCTCCATGGGAAGAGGCAGCGGAACCTTTGACTCTCCCTGCCTGCCCGGCTTCCTGCATCTGGTGCTTGCAGTCTCTGCACGGCAGTTCTAATTCTGTTCCTGGGGAAGGCGGCAGGTGGGGCCTCAGGTCTGTGTGTTCTCACCAGGCTGGTAACAAACCCAGAGTGCACGAGTGTCATGCAGCCCACTCCTACACACATCAACTCATAAGGAATTATGTCTGTGTGGGACTGGAATGCTTTGTGCAAATGTTTGGTGATGGGAGAGGTCGTTGTTCAGTGGCAGAGCCTCTGCTCAGCATGCAGAAGGTCGCCGGTTCAATCCCTGGCATCTCCACTTAAAAAGATCAGGTAGCAGGGGACGTGAAAGGACTCTGAGATCCTGGAGAGCGGCTGCCTGCCTGAGTAGACAAGACCGCTCTTGACAGACCCGAGGGTCTGGCTGAGTGTCAGGCCGCTGTACTCTCTCGTTCCCGCAAGTGAGTGGGATTGGCAGGGCCGGTCCGCGGGACCAGGGGGTGGGAAGCTGGCCGTGTGGCTCGCCTTAGAGGGGTGGAAAGGGAATGTCGGGGAGAGCCACTCAGAGTCCCGTTTCTTGGGCAATGTCTGTGGAGGGGCAGACGTGGCAAAATCCCTCCCTCCCTCCCCCGCACAAAAGCCCAGCGAGAACGAGCTCCTCAGCAAGTGCACATCCACTCCCCCCCCCCCAGTTCAGTCCCAGCTGCAGCCGCTGTGGTTTGCCGATTAGTGCTGAGGCATTAAGTCTATTCCAGGGATTAAGGGAGGCTCTTCTGAGGTCAGGACGATGGCTGCCCCACTGTGAGACTCGGCAGGGCTCTCTAATGCCCACCCAGACAGCTACCCGCTGGGCAGCACTGCAGTGCGACAGAGGAGATGGGGGGGGGGCCATGCTGGTGCCGGGTGTCGTACGGAGCCCTACAGCCCGGTCCTTATTGACAGAGAGAGATGCACATTTTGCTGGAGTAGAGGAGTGGGGGGGGGGCAGGGGAATGCTGCTGGGATCCACCTCCTCATGGTGAGGTCTCACCTACCTGACCTGTAGGAAAGAACCAGAGTCCAGGAGCCCCTTAAAGACTAACGTGATTTGTAGCAGTGGGGAGGAGCTCTCGTGAGTCACTCCAGTCCCTTCTTCAGGGGCAGTGTCTGGCTGTATCTGAAGTCGTGACTGCAGGGACTCACCAAAGCTCCTAGCCTGCCCCAGATTTTGTTAGTCTTTAAGGTGTCACGGGCAGGGGGTCATTTAGTAGAAAAAGAGGTGCAGGAACTCATTAGCATAACTTATTTGCATATGCCACACCCCCTGGCATCACCGGAAGTGTGTCAGACGGCAACACCCACCGCTCAGGCTCCACTGGACTCTTGGATTGCTAGCTATGGGGGGGGGGGGAAGCAGGCAGATCTGTCCTCGCGGTGGAGGGAGAGCTTGTACCAGAATGAAACTTGGTCTTAGAGGTGCCACTGGGCTGTTTTGGACCAGGGGGGTGGGCTCTGCAACTTACCTGGCTGCTTCTTGCTCTGACTGAGGGCTGCTGGGAGCAGGGGGTAGGGCATGTGCCCGCCCCCTGGGCTCTTTACTGCCGGAGCTCCGCTCTTGTGCGCTCCTGCAGGAAATGACCCCTGGTCACGGGAGCAGTGTCACCACCCCCTATAGATAGGGGGTGGTGGCAGTGTTCCCTCTAAGCTAAGTTAGTGTGAGCTAGCTCACTGTTTTTTAGCCTCCGGCTCACACATTTTTGTCTTAGCTCAGGAAGGATGGCTCCAGGGCAAACTAATTTATGTAGTAGCCAAATCACTTGCTCACAATTTCAAGGCCAGTAGCTCAGAAAGTAGAATTTTTGCTCACAAGATTCCAGAGCTTAGAGGGAACATTGCACGGGACTCTCAGTCTTTTCAGCTGCAGCAGACAGACGGCCGCCCCTCTTGTACTAGAGTTGGTTCACCCTTCGGTAGAACTCCCCACCCCACGCGCACAGAGGGCTTGTTCACACCTGCCCCCATGTAACCTGTGGCTCATGGTGTCCGCTCTTTGTGTGTGCTTGGGGCGGGGCCCCCAAGATCTTGCTTACAGCCTCAGGTTTGTCTGGAGAGTTTATAGCGGTCCTGAGTTCAAGTGCCGTTGTCTTATCCCGAATTCTAGAGCACAGAAATGCAGCTGTGGGCGCCAAGGAGCCTGCTGATCTTCAGACCCCCCCCCCCCCCCCCCGATTTAGTCCTTTGTCAAACATTGTTGGAGGAATAGGGGTGGCCTGAGTGTATATACATGTATTAAAAACCCAGCTTTCTTGTCCAGCAGAGCTTTGATATGCTCACAGCTGCTGAGAGCTACCAATAGGCTGAAGGACCCAGTAATGAGATTTAGTGAAATGGAGTGGAAATGGTGAAGAAATCTTGCAGCGATTCAGGCTTGTGACCTCGGACCTGAAATAGCACACTCAGACTTGAGGCTGTGGCACTCCTGGCCACGTGTGCCTCCAAAATAGGTGTCCCCCCCCCCCCAGCATGGCTGTGGGCAGTTCCATTGATTTTGTGGTCTCTGGGGGAGCAGAAGCCTCCGCCCGGTTGCTTTTGCTGAGGAGGTGGGGGTGGCTTTAACGGGTGTGTGTGTGTGTCTTGTGGGGAGGTGTCAGAGCCACAAGGGGTGCCAGCGTGGTTGAAGGTGGGCGCCGTTCCTGAGTTGTTTCCCAGCTTGGAGGCGTTCCTGGTTCTGGTGGGTCTCCTGAGCCCCAGCAGACCCCTTCCAGCCGGAGCGGCAGCTCTGACCTTCACCGGTCATGCAGGAAAGCTGATAGGCCTCTGCAGTTCAGTGCAGAGGAGGCTGGCTGGCTGGCTCAAGGGCAGCTGCGGAGGGAGTTCTGCTGCAGACCCGGGGAGGCAGAGCCTGCACCACTCTCGTCCTCCCGGGCTGTTGCAGCCAACGGTCTGCGGAGACGTGCCGGACGGAGCAAAAGGCATGTAAATGTGCCAAACCAACATGTGCCAGTACGTGCGCCAAACCGACTCTCTTTCTGTACCTGAGAGGGATCCTTCACTTTCCCCATCCACCTAAGCTCCTGTGTAGCCGAGATGCTTGCGCATTCCTCTAATCCCATCAAGAGGCCCCGTGTTGCCTGAGCTCTGCTCTCTTGTCTGTCTGGAGCTGTGTGTGATTTCTAGGCCACCTGGAGCCGAGGTGAAAGGCAAGGGAAGAACATTTTTTAATAAAGAAGTACTGTGTGGCCCTGATCCGAATAGCCCCGGCAAGCCCGATCTCATCAGCTCTCAGAAGCTAAGCAAGGACGACCCTGGGAAGCCCTTGGGAGGGGCGACCTCCCAGGAATACCAGAGGTGGGACGCAGAAGCAGGCTAATCAAGCCACCTCTCTGAAAAACGTCCAAGCCCCCAGGAGGGGTCGCCAGAAGTCAACCATGACTTCCAGGCAAGCACACGAAACACACACACACACACACACAGAAATAAAACTTGGGGAAGGGTGCTGCCACCTGCGTGATCCCAACCCGGAGGAAGCAGTCCCACTGACTTCTGCTGCCACGCAGTTCCCTGTGCGTCCACTGACCTTTCCTCTTTCCCCCTCCGGCAGCTGAACATCCTGGTGGACACGGGGAGCAGTAATTTCGCTGTGGGTGCAGCCCCTCACCCCTTCCTGAGGCGCTACTATCAGCACCAGCTGTGAGTATGCAAGTCAGGGCCGGGGGAGGGAGGTGGGGGTACAGAGAGTTCCGATCCTGCACGGGAGCTGCCCCACTCCTCCGCTGAGCTGGGCCCCGGTCACTCAGGTGAGGTCCGGGCGCTCGCCCTGCGCACTGGTCTGCCCGGCTTCTCTTCCACCGTCCGCAGAGGCTGGCAGGGAGGCACCAAGGCTGGATGGAGGCGTTTGAGCTGTGAGGCAGGGGGTGTGAGGGCACTGTCCGGCCCTCCAGCCGCATGGCACCCTGGAGAACAGGACGACGCGTCCCCTGGCTGCACGCACGCACACACACACACACCGCCTTGCAGAGGCAGTCGGAGGCCCCAAGGCAAGAGGCGGATTGGAGAACTCGGCCTGCAGCAGTGGTGAGCCCAGCGGCAGGTGGCTTGGTGTAGAGATGAAGGGGCGGGCCTGTTCCTTCGGCTGTCTTGCCCAGAGGGGGCTGTGCCCCCTTCCCCTGGAGCAGCGGGTGTGTTCCTGCCCCGGGAAGCCACAGGCTCTGGTGTTGCCCCTGCTGACATCTGCCAAACTGTTGCCTGAGTCTCCGTGAACATGCAGGGAGTGTGAGGCAGGTGGATTCTCCCCCTGTGCGCCCCCCCCCCCCAGATCTGTTTTCATTTATCCGGAAGGCTCCCCAAAGTCTGGTCCTGCTCTTATTCCCTGAAAGCCATGTTTGGTCTCTGTGCAGCTGCAGCAAGGGGGGAGAGTTAAGGCAATAGGACAGTTTATGTTCACTGAGTCTTTTGTTCTGTCCGTTGACCTGCTGCACGGGGAGTTAGGGTGGGGAAGGGGCCAGAAAGGAAAGCCCCTAAAATCACTCAGGTCCTGTGCAAAACTTGGCCCTGACCACCCGTTTACAATCCCAGTGGGAGTTAAGGCATATCGGGGTGGAGGGGGTGTAGACACAGCAAATGTAAATACAACACGTGGCGTGCCCAGGGGTCTGGACGTTCTTGGCTGCCTCAGACGCTTCCTTGCACCTGGGCCCTAATTCATACTACATCCATTGATGTGGGCGACACTGTTCCTTACCTAATGGAGGCTGTTTTACTCCACAGACCCTTTGTTCTTCTCCCACCTTGTGTCAAATTGTTTTATTCACACCCAGTCTAGAGATCTAAACTGAATTCAGCCTCATTAGGAGAATACTGCACAAGATGCTCCAGTTAGGTCTCTTTAAGACAAACTCTCCCGGAGTTTGTCTTATCTCTTATCTCTTGCAGCACAGTAAAGGACTGTTGGGCAGGCATCATATCTCTTTCCAGCAAGACAGAGAACTTTTTTTTTTTAAGTTGATGACTTTACAACTCCTCTACTGGCAAGAAATCATTAAAGAACTAATTATGCAGACTGATTTACAGAAAGCAGGTTGAATGAACTTAACTTCTTCTGTCATTCTGATTGAAATAATGGATATGATTCTCTGAAGCTCAAGGCAAACTCGGTTTTAGGCTGATGGGCGTAATGCTGTGCTCAACCGATAGAAGGCCTCCTTTGACTGGAAGCCCCCTGCGGAAAGCCTGACTCGCTTGACCCCACATGGCACCTGGGCTTGTCCTCCAAGCAAAACAGTTGGTCCTGAAATGAATTATGCAGACAGGTAGTACAGGTGAAGTAGGATACCTCTCGGTCGCTCTCCTTGAACTCGCAGAGGAAGGTTACGGGGGCTAAAAATCATTAAAGAAGAACAGTAAATCTGCTGTTTCTTCAGCCTAAAGAGTCAGTCCTGAACTTTCGGTACTTTGCCTGGCCAGCAGTTGAACCTTACGTACGAAATGAAACCACATGAGAATACATAGACTAACGTGCATACAAGTGCGGGGAGGGCAGGATAGAAATGGAATGAAATAAATAAAATAAACTACAATCAAGACTGTGACAACCCCCCTCCGCCCCTGGGTCTCAGAACTCTCTCCGTTGGGCATGCCCCGCTGAGAGACCAGACCGGCACCCGTTCTGGCCTGCAGCCCCCTCCTCCTCCTCCGCAGACATTTTAGCCAGCCTTGGTATCTGTCCCCCACCCCTTCTCCCCGGGCCTCCTGCAGCTCCAGCACCTACCGGGACCTGCGGAAGGGAGTCTATGTGCCCTACACACAAGGGAAGTGGGAAGGGGAGCTCGGCACGGACCTGGTCACCATCCCACACGGCCCAAACGTCACGGTCCGTGCCAACATCGCCGCCATCACGGAGTCGGACAAGTTCTTCATCAACGGCTCCAACTGGGAAGGGATCCTGGGCTTGGCCTACGCGGAGATTGCCCGGGTGAGTGCAGGGCGGCCTGGGTGGGCTCCCTCGGTCACTTCTTGGCTCCCTCCCCAGCGGGGGCCCAGAGCAGCTTGCCTCCTCCTCCTCCTCTCCTCCACTTTATCCTCACAACAGCCCTGTGTGGTAGGCTGGCCCAAGGTCACCCCACAGGCCTCTGTGGCAGAGTAGGGACTACCCCTCCAGACCCTCGCCTGATCCGGCATGATGCATTGTGGGAGGAGGAGACCTCAGTCCTCCGTGGCAGATGAAGATAACAGTCGCCCACGCACCTCGTGCTTATCCCCACAGCAGAGCCAGATCGGCCCTTCACGTCAGGCCACTGCCACCGTTTTCATGGCGTCGCTGGTCCGGGATTAAGAGGAGGGAGGCGTGGGCTTGGCCTGCAATAAGAGGTTCCTATCTCGGGGGCTGCTGGATCCCTTCTGGCAGCTGGAGGACTCGGGGGGGGGGGGCATGGGCTGCCTTCTCCCATTCTCAGTGGGCACGCCACGGCCCCGTTCTAAGCTCCCGGCGGGCTCGCACGGGAGGCGGCCGGGCTGCCTGTGCCCTGGGCCTTCTCCGCTGCTGGCGTTTCCTGAGCCCAGCTTGGGGTTCAAGGGCAGCCCCTCGCATCCCTCCTCCTGCCAGCTTGCATGCCGGCCTTGCTGACCCCGTGCTGCTGGTTTCTCCCCTCCCCTCCCAGCCAGACGACACGCTGGAGCCCTTTTTTGACTCGCTGGTGAAGCAGACGCGGGTGCCGAATGTCTTCTCGCTGCAGCTGTGTGGGGCTGGCTTCCCACCCAATAACTCCGAGGCCCTGGCCGCTGTGGGGGGCAGCATGGTGAGTGTTGTGGGGGCGGCATGGGCCCTGGGTTGCTCTGCACTGTATCCATCCCACCACTGCCAATGGCTGGAGTCCTGGAGCTCTGCTGTGGCTACTAGAGGTGTAAGATTCCCGTACGCTTTGCAACTACGGGGAAATTGTGTGTACGTATATTTAAATTTTCCCCAGAATGTCCATGTTTTTTTTGGGGGGGGGGATTCCTCTTTTACTGACTGAACAGCATAATAGAATTCATTTATAACTTAACCTACAAAATTGTACTATTCAGCCTATTTGTGGGAGTGTCCCCAGTCCTTGAGAAAGAGTTGTAAACGTCTGCACCTTTTTTGCCATCTGAGAGGGAGTAAAAATAGAACTTGAAGGTAGAAAAGAAATTCTGTAGTAAACAAAGGAAAGTTCAGAAAGTGTCTCACAAGTGCAGGCAATGGCAAATCACCTCTGCTCGTCTCTTGTCCGGAAAGCCCCGTGGGCGGAGTCTCCATGAGTTGGTTGTGAGTCAATGGCGTGCTCTTCTTCTTTTACAGTGTAAGAGGTTTTTCCCCCAGTGTTCACACAAACTTATTTTTCCCTTTTGAAAAGTTGAGAAAGTCCTCAGATTTTTTCACACCGTGCGCGTGTCAGCGGGTTCAGGTGGGGTGGCCGTGTGGCTCTGCAGCAACAGAACCAAGTTTGGGTCCCGGGGGGGGGGGCACCTTTCAGACCAACAGAGCTTTATTCACGGTGGAGGCTCTCCTGTGCATACACACAGTGGTCAACGGAAGAATCTTCCCTTGAGCATTTTACGTATGCTGCAAGAGAAAACATTTCATGGGAATTTGTTTTTTCCGATTTTTTCACTGGAAGAAATGGTGGAAATACCAACTCTTCAGGTATCGTCCCCCCCCCCCCCCCCCAACCTCCCTATCTCCATTTCTTCCTTGGGCCTTGATGTCTCCAGCTATGGTTCAGGCCTCCTTCTTACAACATGCACAGTAGTGATGGCGGTGAGAGCACTTATGGACGTGTGCAGAGTGCCACCTGCTCCCCAATGAGTAAGCACAGCCAGACTCCAGCTGTTTAGGCTTACTTTGGCTCAGAGGGCTGCCGGATTGTAAGGGGCAGGGGGCCAGCACTCCAAGCAAATGTGGAGGAGGCGGCTGAGGAGGAGGGTGCCTTTGGGCTTGTGCCGAGGCGCTCTCCCTCCACACAAGGGGCCCTTGGGGAAGGAAGCGCTTGCCAGGCCGCAGCCAAGAGGGGAGGCTGGGGTGTCTTCAGGGCCTCTGCTGACGCCTGCCTTCCCTCACCCCTCTTTTGCAGATCATCGGGGGGATCGACCCGTCTCTCCACACGGGCAGCCTCTGGTACACGCCGGTGCGGAAGGAGTGGTACTACGAGGTGGTCATTGTGAAGATGGAGGTCAACGGGCAGGATCTGCGGCTGGACTGCAAGGAGGTGAGCGGGCTGGAGGGGGGCAGAGTTCACCTCTGGTGCAGGGCTGGTTTGGAGGGGGGGGTGTCTGTCTGTCTGTCGGCTGGGCTGGCCCCCCCCCCCATGCCCTCTCCTCCCAGTACAACTACGACAAGAGCATCGTGGACAGTGGGACCACCAACCTCCGCCTCCCCAAGAAGGTCTTTGAGGCAGCCGTGAAATCCATCAAGACGGCCTCTGCGGTGAGAGATGCGTGGGGGGGGAGGGAGGGAGGGGCCGCTGCCCAGCCTGCATGGGACTCTCCCCTCCGGCAGTCTCCCCCTCCCCGCCCAGGAAGGAGCCAGGCAAAGCTGGAATTCTGTACGGATGGGTCCCCCCCCCCCCCGCTCTGGAGCCAGCAGCTCCCAGCAGCATTGGGCACCTCTGGCTCTGTGGTGGTTTGGGCATATGCAGATCATGGCAGGAAAGGGGGGCTTGGGAGCTGCCCCCCTCCCACCCGTCAGGCAAGCGGCGGCACCTGCTGATGCCGTGGCTTGAAGTCCCGCTTTGGAGAGTCAGCTGAGATCCACTTCGTGGGCTGACTCCTGGCAACGCTGAATTCCTCACCCCCGTCTCCTCCCTGTGGACCGGAGGCTGAAGGGGGTGCCAAGGTCCTTTGGCCAGTTGGAGCAGCTGCAGTAGCAGCAGCAGCCTGCCCTGGCACTGTGGCACTGATGCCTGCCTGCCTCCCTCCCTCCCTCCCTCCTCAGACAGAGAAGTTTCCTGACGGCTTCTGGCTGGGGGAGCAGCTGGTCTGCTGGCCCATGGGCACCACCCCGTGGCACATCTTCCCGGTCATCTCCCTCTACCTGAAGGGCGAGACAACCAACCAGTCCTTCCGGATCAGCATCCTGCCCCAGGTGGGTGCCTCTGGGTCTCTGGGGTGGGGGCTGCGGCCAGGCCAGGTGCTGCAGGAAGGCTTCCTTGTGAGGTGCCAGCCGCAGGCTTGGCGTGGCTTGGGAGTCCGGCACATCTGGACCTGGGGGGGGGAAGGGAGGGAGATCTGATGGAATGTTGGCCCAGAGACGTGGGCCCGCCCCTCCACTATAACAGAGGCGGAATTTTCAGTGGTTTTGAAAAGCAGCTAATAAATTGCTGGTGGGCTTCGGGGAAGCCGTGCCTGGGATGGTCCAGGCGAGGCCGATCTCATCCGACCTCGGAAGCAAAGCAGGGTCTGTTAGCCAAACTGCTTTATCTACAACAGAGGCCAGATTAAAATATTGTCGGGGTCCTCGCCTGTGTATACAGAAGTCCAATTCCACCCCGAGGATTTTCCCAGAGATATAGGGAGACGAGACTGGTATCTTAAAATCAAGTTGTTCTTTTTACTGAATATTTCGTTCACATACAAACAAAAACAGAATCTCATACGCAATCACACAAGATCCTCAGTGTTACAGAAATAGAAAATAATCACTTTTACACTAAATGGATGGGGAGGGAAACAGCAAATACTTATCTGATCCGAAGCTTGACCTTCCCAATGAAGAATACAGGAATAAAGACAGAATAACTAAAGGAATTCTAATTCACACAGTTGGAACCTGCCAACACGTGTGGATCTCTTGGTCCAAAAGAGTAAGAACAAAGGATTACTTATATAGCAAGACTGTGAGTAAATAGCTAAGGAGAGAAGATGGCTAGCAGGGTTCAAACTGTTGAACCTCGCTTTTTATAGGGGGGGTCCTTGGGGGCTGGCATCTGTGCCATCCTCCTTGGTCCCACCTACCTGTGGTCTGTCCCAAGAACTAACACTATTGGCTATACTTAGTGACGTATCTAACTAGAAGGAGTGGGCAATATTGAAATCTAAACCTTTAACTCAAGGAATGCATCTGGTCAAGGTGTAAAGTTGGATACCCAGGGCAACCATTGAATGACTCTTGCTTGGTCCCAAGCAATAAAGTGCCCATTTGTCAGGAAACTGTCCCTTTGGATGCAAACCAGATATCAGGGTTACGTGTTCACTAACAGTTCATCAATGGTGGTTGCAACCATAAAAGTTGTTGTTTTGTGCATTCCACAATGGCGATGCAGCCTTCTTCCTCAGGCTGGGCTGTGAGTGCAGATCCCATTAGCATGAAATGCAGGCAAGGTCCTTTTCCAGGTGAAGCAATAATGCAAACAGCTTTCCCTCAGCCTGTGGGTGTTCGTAGGCACAGTCCATGGATGTGTGAGTGCACATCAGTAAATACACAAATACCTAAAAGCAAATAATAAGTTCATCTCCAAACAGTCAGCCACGGCCAGTCTTTGGATGGGAGACCCCCGAGGGAGTCCCGGGTAGCAGCTCGGAGGCAGGCACTGGTGGAGGAAGCCACCCCTGAGCGCCTCTTGCCTTGGAAGCCCCAGAGGAACGCTGGGTGGCCCAAAGGCCCGAGGGAGCCAGGCCCCACGAGGCGCAGGGAGCACGGCGGTCCCGGCCTGCCCTCAGCTCCTCACTCTGTCCCGTAACTCCCCAGGGGACCCGCTCTCGGCCAGACCCGCCTCACAGGATGGTTGTGAGGATAAAAGAGAGAACACCCATGCACGCCACCCAGGGCTCTGTGGAGGAAGGTGCAACCTACAGGTTTAGATCGGGGAGAATACTGTGGGTCTCTGGAGTCCTGGTCCAGCAATTCTGGTTGCTGGGTTGCGTCAGCTCTCCCATGTGCGAGGAACCAAAAGTAAAGGTGACTCTGGGCACGTGCAGAGCGCTTTCCCTTCTGCACTGGGTCACTGCCCTCCCACCATCCTCTGACGCTGCCTCTCTCCCCCCCCTCTCTCTCCGTCCCCTCCCCCCCCAGCAATACTTGCGGCCAGTGGAAGACGTGGCCACCTCCCAGGACGAGTGCTACAAGTTCGCCATCTCGCAGTCTTCCACAGGCACGGTCATGGGCGCCGTCGTCATGGAGGGGTTCTACGTCGTCTTTGACCGCGCCCGCAAGCGTGTGGGCTTTGCCGTCAGCACCTGCCACGGTGAGTCAGGCGCTCGGCCCTGCCTGGAGGAAGAGAGGGGCCCGCGGGGGACCAACCAGGCCTCTCTGAGGCTTGTAGCGGGAGCGGCTGGGTCCCTCCCCCTCCACCAGGCTGAGGCCACTGGGCCGCAGCACCCGCACCTTCGTTTCACCATCCTGTGGTGGTTTTACTGGGGTTTTAAATTGGATTGTTGTCCATTGTTTTAAAATGTTTGGTTTTGTTGGATCTTTGTTGTGAACCACCCTGAGCCCACTTGCGGGGGAGGGCAAGATAGAAACAGAAGAAAATAAAAATAAATAAAGACATTCTCAGGGCCAGCGCCCTGTACGGGGAGAGTACCCAAGCAGGCTGAGAGCCTCTTTTCTTCTCGGCCTGCCAAGCCTGGAGGGAGGGCTGGTGAGGCTGGCGTGGGGCTCTGTCTGTGGGGGGGGCACTTCCCCTCCCCCTGACCCGCCTGTCTCTCCGGCTTCAGTGCACGATGAGTTCCGGACCGCCGCCGTGGACGGGCCCTTCCTGCAGCCCAACACCGAGGACTGTGGCTACAACATTCCCCAGACGGACGAGTCCACGCTGATGACCATCGCCTACGTCATGGCTGCCATCTGTGCCCTCTTTATGCTGCCGCTCTGCCTCATGGTGTCGCAGTGGCGCTGCCTGCGTTGCTTGCGCCGGGGCCACGACGACTTTGCGGACGACATCTCCTTGCTCAAGTGAACGCTGCCCCCCTGAGCCTGCGGAGGCAGAGCTGCGGACCCCGCGTGGAGCTCTGCAGACTCCACCTTGACCTGGAGGGGCCTTGGCCTCCCTGGGGAGGGGGGCCTAGCGCGACCCCCAACCGGAGCAGGGCCCGGCCACCGGAGAGGCTTTCTTTCCCTCCGCCAGGAGGGGCCAGTGGCGATCGACAAAGACTCTGTTCCCATGCCCCGCTGGACAGAAGAGCCGTGGTGGGGAAGGGGCTGGCCTTGCGGGCATGGGGGGCTCCAGCAGGCCTCTGCCCCGTGCCGAGAGGTCAAGGGACGTTTTGTCTGCTTGCTTAGTCATTCCCCCGTGGCAGGTGCTGCTGTGTCCTCCTGGGAGCTTGTGCCACTGTGAAGGGCCTTCTGTCAAGAGCGGTGTTGCTTCTATACGAGGCCTGCGGAAGTAGCTGTTTGTCCTTCACGGTTTCGTGTGCGTGTGTGTTTGCAAAAGCGCAGGCAGAGAAGCCAAGCTGTCCCCCACCCCCCGCTCAGGGAAAGGGCGCTCCTGGGATGCCTCTGGAGGAGAGGGGAGGAGCCGGTTCTTTACCGGAGGCCGGGGAGACCTTGAGGTGCCGGGGGCCTGCAGAGAGGGAGAAGGCTGTCCCCGCCCGCCCCCCACCTCTAGGACTGGCCCGCAGGGCAGGGCCTTGCAGAGGGCTTGAGGTCCGCCTTGAGCACAGGCCCTGCGTGGATTGGCACTTTGGGAAGCTCCCTCCCTCCCAGGAGCAGGACTCTGGGCTGCCAGACAGTCCGGGGCAGGTTTTTGAAGGCAAAGCTCACTGCCACCTCCTCCGGCTGGGGCCGGTGCTTGCAGGGCCCTGCGCTCCAGGTAGCTCCCTCGCTCCCTCTGTGTCTTAGCAGAGCTCTTCATCAGGCAGAAAACTGGAGCCATTTTGAACTCCCTGGCGGGCAGGGTTGTCTCAGGAGGGACACAGACCCGCCTGGCTCTGCATTTCAGGTGCTCCGGGGGGGGGGGGCAGGTTGTGTGTGACCCTGGCTGCTGCTGCTGAGCCTAAGGTGCCCCTCCCCAACCTGGGGCAGGAGGGCCTGTTCTGGGCACCTGGCAGGGCTCGGGGGGCGGGGGGGAGCCAGGCACTCCGGCTTCTGCCTGGGGACGGGCATTCCAGGCCACCAGTTGCGCTGCTGCTGCTCCTTGGCCTCAGCCCCACGTGTGGGGGGACCATGTTGCAGTCAGCTGAAGAGACCAAGGCAGCAGGGACGCTGCCCCTGGCCCCCTTGCCCTGCGCGGAAGTAGTCTCCCCCGCAGCGTAGCCGGCGGTCTGTCTGAACGGCATCCAAAGGCGGTGGGTTTTGGCAGGAGCGGCCCAGCCCCAAAGTACCCCCCCCCCCCGCTGGCGTCCCTTGCCCTTGTCGTGGGTATGGAGGCAGCTGTGCTCTTTGTGCTGGGGGCTCTCTCTACAACACGACACGCTGTAAATACTTGTGATGTTGGCCTTTAACGGCCCCGTTCGTCTCAGTCTCAAGTGAAGGAGGAGGAGCCAGACAATCTTTTTGGTTTGGTCTTTTTTAAAGGACTGGTTGGCTGCTTTTTGGCATTCTGTGCTTGAGCGTGAGAGGGTGGCTGCTGGGTGACATAGCGGGGGGGGGAGGGGTGGAGTGGACGCACTCTGTGGGTTGTGTGCTGGACGTGATTCCCCCATCCTGTTCTGGGAGACCCGGATGGGCTGCAGCCCCCTCTAGCCCACCTCGAACCTTTTTAGAACGTCCCTGCACTCACCCCCCCCTCACGACCCCCAACCCCCACCTCCTGTCTTGTCCCTCTCAAGCGGCTTACTCTTTGGGGAGGGCCCAAGCGTCTGGCATCGCCTCCGAGCCACTGAGGAAGCAGCGACAGACCTTCTCTGGACATCAGGGCTGCTGCATTCTGCCACCCGGGCCCAGTTCTGACATTCCATGCCGGCTGGTGACTCTTTTACCGAAAGATGAACCGTGGGCACTTTTATAGCTGGGCTGCCTGGGCCTTCCGAAGCAGGTGATGAGGTTGCAAAGGGGCCCTCTCCCTGCCCCCCCCCCTTTTTAGAAGAATGAGGTGAGCCAAACAGTGTGAGTAAACGGCCCGAAGTGTCAGGTTCTCGCACACACAAGCATCAGCCTACAGTTCTGTGCAACGCTGAGGCAAGCGACAGCTTGACAAGCTCCAAAAGAAATGCAGAGAATGGAGGCCCTGATCAGAAAGCTGAAGAAACAGATGGACGTGTCACCCAGGAGGGAAAGCCAGGCCCAGACTCTGCAGCTGGCAAAAGACATGCACCCACCTGAGGCGGAGCGGGCCCTTCCTTAGTCAGTTGAACCAGCAGCTCCAGCTTGGGGCGGGGACCTGAGTGGAAGCCTGCCAGGGGGGCATGAGGCCCCTGCCGAAGCATATGGGGCAGAGGGAGGGACCCAGCTTTGCCCCCAAGGAGCTGGCCAGGATTGGAGATGAAAGGGGATTGCGCACAGGGCAAGGGCCGGTGGAGCGATGCCAGCAGTTTGTAACTGGCCTTCTCTCCCCCTCGTGTCTGTGTCCGTCAGGAACGTTCAACACAGTAAATTATTACCTTGAGAGAGAAAGGCCTCCTGGCTGCCTTATTTCTGGTGGGGCGGAAGGGTGGGCGAGAGTAGTGCCACAGGCCTGAGGGAACCAGAGCGTGGGAAATTGAGCACGAGGCACAAAGCGAGACTCCTGCATAATATACACACTTTAATTCTGAACTAGTCTGTATACGGACTTTCTATACACACATTCCCTATAGAATAAAAATGTACATGTGTATACATGGCTGTATAAATATAGAGTTGTAGAAATCCAGGGTGCCCCTCGCAGGCAAGCACCACCACCCTCCTGTGTCCAGCGGTGGTCATTTCAGCGTCGGGCAGAAGGGACAGGCATCGTTTGCATTGGTCTGGGCCCAGAATTTAATGCACTGGAAAGAGAAATAAATTTCTGTCCCGCTTTCCTCCCTGCCAGTGGGACTCACAGCAGCTTACGTAGTTATAAGACTGGTTTTAGTTAACTGCAATCCAATGCCCACTGCCGACCTCCTCCCAGGAAGGCCCACGTTAGAAAAGCTCCACTGCACACATTTCCCAGAAAGCTCCGGGCTTCCCCCATAGCCTCAGGGAGACCGTTTTGTAGAACACGGAAGCAGACAGCGAGAAAGGCTGAAGCCACTTTCTCTGCCCCAAGAAGAGGAGCAATGCCCCCAAAAGAGCAAGGGTGGCTGGGGGTGCGGGAGCAATGCCCCCAAAAGAGCAAGGGTGACTGTGGGCTGGGGGTGTGGTCTCTCTTGTGTAGACTATTGTGTTACCTCCAGAATCCTGTTGGAGATGGCTTACAAACAGAAACACCACCATAAAGTTAAGTTGCCCTATCCGAACAAGCCAGCAATGTAAGAGGAGCATTAAAATATCCGAAAGGCAGACGACAGGCCACGATTCAGCTCAGCTTAAGGAGCATAAGAACAGAAGAGACGCCAATGTTGGATCAGGCGAAAGGCCCATCCAGTCCAACACTTTGTGTCACACGGTGGACAGAAATACCAGGGGCCACCAGGAGGTCCACCAGTGTTTTGGTCTCGTGCAGGAGGGCAGTCCAGAGGCAAGGTGCCACCACTGGCCGTGCCCTCTCTGTTTGCCACCCACCTCACCTCGGTTTTGAGAGGCAGCTCTCGATTGGCAGGCTGGAGGGGGGGGCAAGGCAGTCCTTCAAGCCCCCTGGGCCCTGGCCATTTAGGGCTTTTAGGGCTTTGAACTGTGGCCGGAAACAAGTGGGCCGCCAGTGGAGATCTTTCTGAACACCAATGCAACATGATCCATACATCCGGTTGCCAGGACTTGGGTCCACCTGCCGTGTTCAGACTTCCTTTCCGTGGAACCACCAACCCTATCAAGGTCTATGCGAGGCCTGCTTCCTCCCAGTTTCAAGCTACCCCCTGTGGCCATGGAGAGAGGAAAGCAGGATCCCCAGCTACCACAGGAAGCGGTCTCCTCCCCAGCCAGGCCACTGATGCCCTGCCCCCTGGCCAGTGCGACCCGGGCACTCACCTCCTTGTGCAGCACGTGGGAACAGGCCATGGGGTGGAGGTCGCTGGGCTGCACCAGCTTCTGGCACATCAGACAGAGTTTGCAAGCCACGGGAGCCTGAGTGACACAGGAAGAGAGTCGTCAGAAGGGCAGGAGAGAAGCGGCAGCCGGCTGGCTCCCGGGAGCGGCCTGGGCCCAGGAACACGGGCGGGGCCTGCTGGCCTCCCCACGGGCAGGGAGAGCTCTGCTCACCTGGGCGGGTGTCCCAGCATAGGGCACCTGTGCCGGCGGCAGAAACATCGGGCTGCTGATCTGAGGCAGAGGAGCAGGGAACATGGAGGAGCGGAGGCGGCCGAGAGGCTGCAGCAGAGAGGA